GAGCAGCAGCTCATTTGCATTTAAAGAGACAGGCACGAAAAACATTGTGTTTCTGCTTCCACTCAAAATAGGCATTTTCAAAATGATATAATAAATGATCTGTGGAGTATTTTGAGCTGGAACTTCACAGACACATTCTGGGGACACCAGAGACTTATTACATATTGTAAAAAGGGGCATAATATGTCTCCTTTTAACGCATTGGCCTCTGATCGAGCTGATCATCTAATAAGCCATTCGTTTATTTTTCAGTCTGATCGCATGTTAGTAGCACATACTGAGTTTTTTTTTGGAACATGTTTTATGCTACTGTATGATTTTTTACAATGTTTTTGGAAGTCTCTTCTGTTCAACAGGGCTGCATTTATTTAACTTAAAAAACCGTGATGCATTTTATTTTTCAGGATTCACAGATGAACAGAAAGTTCAGCATTTGTTTGAAATAGAAATCTTTTGTAACATTATAATGTCTTTACTGGCGCTTTTGATCAATTTAATGCATCCATGACTAATAAAACCTATTATTTTTTAATCCTACCTACACCAAACTTTTGAATGGTCAGGTTTCACGGTTTCCACAAAAATATTGTGCAGCACAACTGTTTTCAACACTGATAATAATCAGAAATGTTTCTTGAGCAGCAAATCAGCATATTAGAATGATTTCTGAAGATCATGTGACACTGAAGACTGGAGTAATGATGCTGAAAATACAGCTGCGCATCACAGAAATAAATTACAGTTTAACAGATATTCACATAGAAAACAGCTGTTATAAATTATAATAATATTTCACAATTTTTACTGTATTTTTAATCAAATAAATGCAGCCTTGCTGAGCAGAAGAGACTCTTTGAAAAACATTAAAAATCCTATAATTCCAGACTTTTGTATCTGAACCCCAGCAGCTCTGAGTGCAATCATCTGGATGTGTTTAGCAGCCGCAGCTCATTAAAAGAGTTCAGTCAAAGGCGATTAGTTCTGTCTGTGAATCATCTGGACTAGATTTCAACAATTCTGATCACAAAGACACAATTACCTTTCCACATTCATCTATAATCAGTATTATTATTATCATCCACTATTTCATATAAACCTGCTTCTAAACTACAGAACAATCTGTTCTTTTGTGCATCCGTTCATCTTTCTAGGACTTTTTTTTAAAAACTTTTTTGTTTACTTATTTTTACTGCAAAACAAAACAAATACACTTATGTTAAGAAGCAGGGTTATTAACTTTGAGGATTTCTTTGGCTCCCGTTTACTGGTACACTTTGGAGCCCATGGCTATGATGGATGTGGAGAAGGTAAATGGGGAACTCCAGGGGGAGAGATTAGGAGCTAGTAAAGTACATGCAGAAAGACCTGAAACTACTGGTTCATATGTTCACATGACAGACACTTAGAATTAGAATATGATTATATATATACAGTATATATATTTTTATTTATTTATTTTTTTCAGTTAGCTGCCCAGGCAACATTTCTTATTTTCATTTAAAGTTGACATACTAAAATGACTAAAACTAAAACTAATAAATAAATCAAAATCTACGTATATTAGCAAAAATTACTAAAATGTTAAATAAAATTATAAAAAATATTTACAAAATAATAAATAATAATAACATTAAATATTTTACATGATTATAAATATTGTTAAATAATGTTAAATAATTATAAAATAATATAATACTAATAATATTGATAATTATTATTTTATTCAATAAATAATTCTAATATTAAAAATAATATATTAAAGTTGAAGTAC